AAGACTTGAGGGTGAAAAATAGATTGAGAGGACAACAAGAGTGAATGTGAGATAACTGGTTAGGAGGTATGGGGAGCGTTTTCTTTTTCTTCCGTAGATGGGAGAAACTTAAGTAAGTGTAAATGTCAAAGAGCAAGATCCAAGTGAGAAAATGCTGCATGTAAAGGAGAAAGGAAATAGCGAAAGGTTCCTAGGAAGTCCAGTGCGATAACTGCAGCAGCTAGTCTCAGAAAGAAGGACTAATTTTACTCTAACAGAAGAAGAGAAAAGGAGGATGGGTGTAGGCGTGAAGAGTTCATTGTGGGAGCTCTTATGGCTTTTATTTTCTTTGCGAAGTAAGAAGTAAGGTCATTTGTTAAGGCTGAGAGAGAAGGTGGAGGATGAAAGGGTAAATTAGAGATCTACTAAGAGAATGAAGAAAGTTTGAAATATTCACTAGAAAGGTGGGAAGGAGAACTGATAAATGCATGTTGGAATCTTGCTGAGATGTGTTGAGGACACTTGGGTTTTGGTGTTCATAACTTCACAATGATGCCAATTTGCTCTATGTGTCACTATGTATCACAGCAATACTTGCCGATTTGGGCTCAGGCACAAAAGGGAAAAAAGACAGGTGGGTTCAAATAACACTGAGATTTTGTTAGCAGCTGCTGATATAAATATAAACAAGAAGAGAATTTAAGGCACTGGCAAATACGTTATGGAAATGATGTACTATGAAATTCAAGTTTATATGGGAGGGATTTGAAGAAGAAGCTGACAGATGGGAAGGAAAAGAAGGATCAATGGAATGGAGGTCCCTAAGAGCTTGAAGAACATTTGTAATCTGAGGGTTGACTAGCGAGCTGGATGGAAGGGGTTTAGTAGAAACCTGATTTAATGATTTTGATGATAGAAAGGTTTTGAGTGATGATAAGTTCTGGGTTAGTATTGAGAGATAATTTCCCCTAAATATTTTAATGTTTCTGAACAGTCTGGGCTTTCTGAGCAAAGAACACTGGTAAACTTGCTCGAAACATGAAAGACCAAGCCCTGGGACCTTCTGTTGGAACATTAGAGGACAGATAGATGAGAATAAACTAGTAAAAGAGACTGAAGGGCAAAACCAGCGGAAAACACAGAATGGTATCCTGCAAGCCAAGTGAAGAAAGTTCATTAAACAAGAAACATTTAAATGTTGCTGATAAGTCAGGCAAGATAGAGGCTGAGATGACCTCTACATAGAGTGAAACTAAGTTATTAGAGACTTTGACAAAGCAGTTTCAATAGAGTGGTGAAAGCAAAGCCTGAAAGGAGTGGGTTCAGGAGAGAATGAGAGGAGACATCAGAACAGTACAGAACTGCAATGTCCAATAAGGGATACTTGGCACAGATGACTACTGAACACTTGACATGTGGCTACTCCGAAATGAAATGTGATGTAAGAGTAACAAATGCCTCAAATTAGAATTCAAAAAAGAATGTAAAATATCTCAATAATTTTTTATAACAATTACATGTCAAAATGATACTTTAGATGTAAGATTAAATAAAACATTAAATTTGATGTCACTTGTTACTTTTTACATTTTTAATGTGGCTACTAGAAAACTCAAAATTACAGATGTGACATTCTATTTCTACTGGACAACACTAGTATAAACATTGCTTTCAAATCATTTATTATAAATGGAAGCAGATAAATGGGCTGGCAGCTGGTAGTGAAGGGGGGTTAAAAGGTATCTACACCATAGGGGTATAAGTTATTCATGCAGAGTAGCAGGAGGAAAGCAGAGAGGTGGGTATTTATGGAAGTTCCCTTTCTACATTCTTAGTGACGTAGGAAACCAATCTTCAAGCTGAGAAAGAGGATGCAGAAGGAAGCTGAGAAAGAGGATGCAGAAGGAAGTTCTCTTCAGATACATGTAATTGACCACAGAGTTCGACAAAAGCTCCTTGGCTGTAGGTGGCTTAGAAGAGAAGGAAGGGACACCATGAGGGTACTTTCTGTGTTCACTGGTAGTTCATAACAGAAGACATACAATGAAATAACCCACTGGACACTTGTCCCACGTGGTCATTTTTCTTCTTTTATTTCTTGGACTTCAATTTTTTTTTTGTCAAAGCAGAAAATGAAAGATCTACCTTGAATCCCTTTGGTTTGCTCAATGTTCAACAGAGATCCTCCTGTTGAACATTGGTTCCTTTACATTAATTGCCGTGAAAATGTTTGCATCCAGAGCCCTTAAATTTCCAACTCATCTATTCGTGTTTCTAGTTTTCCCATTTCTTTTCTGCTTTCAGGAAAGAAGCAAGAGGACAACATGCTCGACTCTGACGCTTTAGAAGAGGCTGAGGAGGCAGTTTTCCCCCTTGAACTTGGCTGTTCCTGGCCTTGTAGCAACCAGGCTTCAAAGAGAAACCACCACTTCCTCCCCCAGCCCCATTGCCAGCTTCACAGGCAGCTGTGCCGATTAAACATTTAAGTTTCACTTTGGGCTACTTTAAACATTTGCTTTATTCCAAAAAGCTAAACTGGAGGTTATTTTCAGGCATCCCACAGGGATATAGGCCATTTTTATGTCCCAGTATATTGTGTGGTTTTGAAACCTTTCTTCATAGTTGCAACGCCCAAAAATCAAACATAATTTTTAAGTAAAATCCTTGTGTTCCCTGCATGGGACATTGAGCAGTGTCAAGACTGCTGGACAACCAGCCAAGCTGTGCCAACAGTGACTTCCAGACTTGTGACTCTTAGAGGTGTCAAGTGATTATGTTCTGGTGGAGAGGAAAACAAAAGGGGGCTGAGGTGTCCAGTCTAAGACTCAGATTTGGTTTGAGGTTTGGCTGGGATCAAAACTTTAAGACAGTCAGTGTGCTCAACTTCTTTTCCTGCCCTTGTTTTCTTAGAGCAATGATTACATAAAAATACTCTGAGTTTATTTTCTGTAAAGTAGTTGCAGTTTACGTTTGAGCCGATGAGCGTCTGCACCTAAAAGACCATAAACAGCGGAGGAGTTTATAAGACTGTGCTGGGAGTTGGCACAATCCAATCCATCAGGGGAGGAGACAGCATTTAAGACATATAAATATTTCACAGCACCTACATTTTCAGATTGTAACAGCTTTTAAGTATAGGGAGTCTCCTTTTTCTTTCCTGGCTCTCTTCTCTTCTCCCTTTCCTTTCCTTTCCTTACAGATTCCTTCCTTTCTGACATTCTTTTTTTTTTTCCTCCCTCAAAATTAATTTTCCTATTTAATTCTACCTGTTTCCTCCGATAGTTAACTTGTTGGTTAGCTATTTAAACATTTCTCTGAGGTTGTCATCACTTTTATTTTCTTGGCTGATCATCTTGAAGTCATTCTATGTCGGGAGACAGTCTGAACTGGAAAGACCAGAACTTTAGGGTGTGTTGAGTTGGGTTACAGCTGCTGCCAAAAAAAAAAAAAAAAAAAACGAAAACAGGCTTTATGAAAACAAAAACAAAAACTAGCAAAATAAAACAAAATAAAAGACTGTAAACAGCCAGCCTTAGTGAGCTACCTGGCTCTTTCTCTACCCGTTGTCATCTATTTTGTGCATGAGATTTGTTTGGGTTTTAGAAAGGACACCTCAGTTAACAACTTTCATAATCCTCATGGAATTAGTTTGCAGTGAAATAAATCATACCAAGAGAGAGCTCCTAAGTCAAAGAGAATGATTTTGTTTGGCTCTCAGGAGCATTTGAATTTTGACAGCAGTTTGCTCCAAGTAAATGCTCCTTTCAACAATGCGAGGTATAATGAAACAAAACAGATTTCTAGACATTGTTGGTTTTTGTTTTTAGCGTAGGGTTGAATATTAAGGTTAGTTAAATGCTTTTGCAAATGAATAAATTTTCTCAATTTTTATAATGCTGAGAAATTAATGACTACATGGTAAAATATTTGGACTATGGGCATTATGTAAGGCACTGAAGGACACTGCCTAATGGAGATAGACGCAGTTTTCCTGTGACTCCATAAAGGATTTAGATTTTAAAATGCAATTGGGCTTCATGTTCCATCTTAATCAGCATTCCATGGCATCATGTCAATGTGCCAAAAAACTTAGAGAAAGTTTCTATTGGCCAGGAATAAAAAAAAAACAAAAAGAAAAGAAAGAAAGAACGTAGAAACGTAATTGCTCTATTGAGAAGTTTATCAAGTTTATGAGAGAATAAAAATATTTTGTACATATGTGGCAAAGCTTCTTATATGAGGGCTCTCACATTCTGCCGGAGTGCATAGACCAGTTATGATGATGTTGTTTCAGACAAGTGTGAATACTTTGTCCTTGGACTATAAGGATTTTTGTGCATTCTCTAATTTTTCTAGGGTCTGAGAGAAAAGGCTAGGACTAATTGAGGAAAGATAGTATGATAATCAGAAAGCTAGTTCCCAATGTTTAGTGAATATTAGGTATATTAGGTTAAACTTTTTCTCATTTAACTCTTAAATGCATCTAGGAAAGTTAAAGTGGTGATGGTGGTGGGGACAGTTCTATGAGTATTTATTCAAAAGTCTCAGGTATGTAATATGAATAATTTCTGGAGGTCTAATGTACAACATGGTGAGTATAATTAACAATATTGTATTGACATTTTAAATTTGCTAAGAGGACAGAATTTAAGTGTTCTCACCACACACACACACACACAAAAAAAAGAAAAAAAATGGTAACAATATGAGGTGATGGATATGTTAATTAGCTGAATTGTAGTGATCATTTAAATGTATTCATATATCAAAACATAAAGATGTACACCTGAAATATATATTTTTAATTTGTCTATTATGTCCTAATAATGCTGAAAAAGGATAGCTATGAAAATACAAAATACTAAAAATAATAACAAAAAACTCATTACCAAACCCAAGATCACCTAGATTTTCTTCTACGTTATCTTCTAGAAGTTTCATAATTATGCATTTTACATTAAGATCTATGATCAACTTTGAATACATTTTAATGAAAGATAAAAATAAAAGATGTGGGATGTGGTTCCATAGTGCAGCGGTTAGCACATCTGTTTAACACGCAGAAGGTCCTGGGTTCATGCCCCAGTGGAGCCAGGGTCCATGGTCTACAGCCATGCCACCCTGAACAAGCCTGATGTTTGATTTTGGAAGCTAAGCGGGGTCGGGCCTGGTTAGTACTTGGATGGGAGGATACCTAGGAAGACCAGGTATTGTAGGCATAAATAATAATAAATAAAAAGAAAAGAAAAGATGTGAGGTTTTAAATAAAGAACAAATTCTTAAAAAAAAAAAAGAAAGACAGCTAGTCCTTTGCAGATATGGTACTTTACACTGGGCTGTGGCCAGTGCACCTCATCCTGAGCTCCTGCTGGTTCTGCCAGGCTCAACAGGATGCTGGGCTGTTCAGGCAACCAATGTTGCTACATTACTTGTTTCCATGATGTGGGCTGAAGTTCATCAGAGCTACATTGGCATTTTTGCAAGCATTTTATTTTTGTCATATTGTAGGTTAAGTAACAATTTAGCACTTCAGATGGTCCCCTAGAGCCCACATTTTTGTTTTACCCTGCTGGTCATTCCATTGCCTTAGAACACCCATCTGGATTGGTGATACTCTGGAAATTTTTTAAATTATTTTTTATTGTGGTAAAAATGAATAACATAAAATTTACCATCTCAACCATTTCTAACAGTTCAGTAATGTTAAGTACATTCATATGGTTGTACACCAATCTCTAAAACTTTTCCATCTTGCAAAAATGAAACTCTATACCCATTAAACAACTCCCGTTCTTCTTCTCCCAGCCTCTGGCAACCACCATTCGATTTTCTGTCTTTACAAATTTGGCAACTCTAGATAACTCAGTGAGTGGAATCATACTGCATTTGTTTTTTTGTAACTGACTTATTGCACTCAGCATAATGTCCTCAAGGTTTATCCATATCGTAGTACATGTCTAAGTTTCTTTCCTTTTTAAGACTGAATAATATTCCAATGTGTGTGTGTTGCTGCAGTTTCGCGGTTCTGAAGTAAGGGATATGAGACTCAGGCAGTTGGAAAAAAATGTGGGGAGCCATAGGCAACTGTGACATAGCTCTTTATTCCAGCAAGGGCATAGCCTGCCTTATAGGGCAGCGGCTCCTTTTATACACAGGTTAAGCAATAGTGGCACACTGCCATATAACCGAAGCCCGCACATGTGTACTGGGCACATGGTTACATTAGGGGAGAAGAGCTGAGTCCCTTCTGCTTGGAAGTTAGCTGCTAAGGGTACAGGGAGGGAGCCTGACTACCGCCATCTCTCTTTCTCCACACAGTGTGCTTACGCTACGTTTTGTTTACCTATTCATACTTTGATAGACATTTGGATTTCTTCCATTTCCAACTCTGTGTTTCTTAGGATTCAACATAGTTTGGGTGGCAATGCTGTTCTATTAATATTTCTAAAACAATCTGTCCCAAAGCATCAGTTTTTTTACTATACTACGTTTTTGTCCCCAAAGCACTTCACTGATGTTAAGACAAAGTATCAACTTGAAATTAGGCAAAAGATGGCTGCATGTTCTTTCACTCTCTTACTGGAGCATTTTCTAACAGGCCTACCTAAAGGAATGATCTGATTCTCTAAGGAAGTGCACTTTATTGGACATACTATTTGCCATTAATGAAAGCTCAGACTTTATGAAAGGCTAATTTGTAGATTTTTGTTCAGTAATAATGCAAGTGATTTCAATTCAATAGAAAAAATGACCATACATGTTGTCGTACTTTTATTGCTTTGAGTGACATTAACCAATGTTCTTTCTTACCTAGAAATCTTAACTCGAACATTCATTCTCCAGTGCATGTATAAATTCAATCATTCTTTGTGCCAACTTTACCATTCTGCTTGATCTCTTATTAATGAATTAAATAAATCTTTGCCATACACTCATGTTATGTTTATATGTTAACCATATTTGTAACTTCAAAAAATTACACTTTGAATTTCTTCCCTGCTAGAGCAGCCATTGTAAATGACTATATTGCTTTATTCAGTAAAATTTTTTGTTGACAAGTGTCAGCGCCAAGCTGATCAAGAAGGGAAGTTTTCGGTGGTGAGACGCCCAGTTGAAAGAACACACTAGGGGCCGACATGAGGATGAAATGACAGGCACCAACTTTATTGCTGGGATCGCTTCTGAGCTAGGGGACCGCATGAGTTCCACATATGTCAGAGAACAATAGTGACATTCTGCCGCACATGCGTGATACAGTAAGCTGAATCATGCTTTCATGAGCTGGCACAGGCACCCTACTACACTAATGTAACATTCTAAATCCGGGATCTTATCCCTAGCCACAAGCCTGGATCACAGCCAGACCTGAGAACAGCCAGGCCTGGAGTCCACACCAAACTACAGAGGAGTCAATTGTGTCAGAAGAATTAACATGAGACTTATACTAAGATAAAGTAGAAAATGACTTTCTGCTAAATATAATACAAAATGACTTTTTTTTTTTTTTTAAGAAAGAAAACTGACCAGTAATGCAGTAACAAATACAGCCTCTAAGTGTGTCCAAGCATTTAATTGAATACAAGGCAAAGTAAACCTACATGTTGACACTTGGGCTGAGAACTACCAGGCTTCTGTCCATCACAACTCAGCTATGCAAGATGAGCCAAAAGGCTGAAGAGACCTCAAGGTGTGTTTCCCAAAAGTCAGAGTAAGAAGGCTGGCTAAGCTCGCAGGTTTCAACAAATATATTGAAAAATAAATAAGAGACTACGTTTCCATAAAGTCAGCATTTTATACCCACCTGCAGCCAAACCTCCCTGATTTGGAGATGTGCTGCCTTTCTTGCAAAGGGTTTATTTTTTGCTATGGTTCTGATCTGCACTGGCAAAATACAAATAACTATGGAAAGCAAGCCAGAGACACAGTTAGCCCCTGCTGATTCCTTTTTCTTTCTACCTAGGAGTGTGTGTGTGTGTGTGTGAGTGTGTGTGTGTGTGTGTGTGTGTGTGTGTGTGTGTGTGTTACTGCACCACGCAGCCACACAGCATGGAATTTTAAATGTTCTCGAGATCAATTTATTTGACATTTAGTGAAGAGCAAGTGGCTCATTTTAAAAGTGTTTCCCTAAAGATCAGGGACTCATTCTCAAGGATAGAGTTACTTTCATTTTTAATATTTAGTATCTAGAAGAAAGATCAGCATAAATTAATAAATTAATAAAGTTCAAATAATTATTGAATTCTTTAAATCTTGCTTCTTCTTTAGCCCCATAAGGGAGAGAATACTAACATAAATGGTAATTTCTAGACAAAAATTAAAGGAAGATTAGAAAAGCAAATGCTTTATTTCAATTAGTTAGTATAAAGCCATAGTGAACTCTGTTAAAAGCCTCCGCTACAGCTTAATCATTGTCACATTGCAAATTCTACTTCGATAAAAAGAAAAACTTTAAACTATGGCCTTTCTCAATTTTCCTCATCTGTGTGTGGGAGTTCTCCTCTGAGAGATCATCTGTTTGAATTTGACTGTAAATTATTCAAATTATTCTTTTTTGGTAACCCTTGGGCTAAATGGAAAGGGTTGGTGGTCTCACCCTGGGAATACATCGTCTTTACCCTGTGGAGTCAACGGATGGCAGATGAAGAAACTTCTCTGATGAAGTTGATGAGGCTCTATTTCTAGGAAATCTTTCTCAATTCTGGTTACATAACATTATGAACCTCTGCTTTACACTCAATGCTTATGTTTAGGGTTATTCTGATCTTTTAAGCAAAATTAGTACACGACTTCTTTTTTAGTGGTGGTCTTTTGAATTTTTACATGATGTCATAATATTTCAGGAATAACCACAAGTGATTCTGTAGTTCTTCTAGATGTTTTGTTTTAAAACTGAAGAAACCAAGATGAGTTCAGTAATCCCCTTTTATTCACAGTTTTGCTTTCTGAGGTTTCAGTTAACCGTGATCAACAATGGTCTGAAAATATTAAGTGGAATATTCCAGAAATAAACAATGCATAAGTTTTAAATTGTGCGCCATTCTGAGTAGTGTGATGAAAGCTTGCACCATTCCACTCCATCCCACCCAGGACATGAATCATCCCTTTGTTCAGCATTTCCACACTGTGTATGTTCCCTGCCAGTTAGTCACTTAGCTGTCTGGGTTATCAAACTGACTGTTACAGTATCATAGTGCTTGTGTTGAAGTAACCCTTATTTTACTTAATAATGGCCCCGAAGTACAAGAGTAGTGATGCTGGCAATTCGAATGTGCAAAGAGAAGCTGTAAAGTTCTTCCTTTAAGTGAAAAGGAAAAAAAAGTAATATATGAGGGATTCAGTCCTACTTGCAGTTTCAGGCATCAACTGGGGATCTTGGACCATATTCCTTGTGGGTAAGCGGGGGCTAATGTATTGATAAATGTTTATTGAGTGTCAGTCGGGTATGAGCCTCATCCCTGGGACTTCAACAAGTCATCTCTGAGTGGTCTGGATTTCCAAGTTGTTCCATTATCTAGTTTGGGAGTTATATATTTCCCAAAAGAGGTCTTCATTGTTTCCTAAGTTTTAAAATTAAGTTCCCAGTTTTTAAAGACATTATCTATAAGACAAGAGTGAGTCTCTAATAGTTTTCATTTAAATATGTACTATGAGCTAGAAACTCTAGTGAGTCAAGTGTTTTACATGCATTTCTTCATCTTAATCCCCACACCAATCCACTGAATTGGAGGATGACTCTTATCAACCCTGCTTTAGAGATGAGAACACTGAGTTTTAGTGAGAACATGTCATTTTTTCCAAGTTACATAGCACGCATGGAATCCATAGTCTCTCTGCGACACCATGTCCAGTTTGTTTTTTGATAGACATTTGTAATTTATTTTTTTTGGTGCAATAATATTTCAGAAGTTATGCATCATTTGGTCATACATTTTAAATGCTGGAAAACCAGATCTGCATCACCAAGTGCTGGCTGATTCAGTACTTAACATTTTACATGTTTCTTTTGCATGGTCTGGATTTCTAAATTATTTCATCAACTGATTATTTTGGTCAGACGTGTTTCTGAAGGGAAGTTTAACAGTGAAACTTATTTT